CACTAAGTAACTAAATATCTTAAAAAAGACATGAATTTACCTTAATTGACCAGGAGATTACGTGATACCTAATGCATCTTGATTTAGCAGGATATTTGAGTAAAGTCTTTGGATCCCTGTGGACAGATAAAGAAATGTAGTATGAATGACAGTGCAGTTAGATGAAATTGTTGAGTGCAGTGATAGCAACCTCTCAAGGATTACACCTAGCTTTAAAATACTACACTTGAACTCATATTCGTTCACATAAAAGGTAGATGCAGAGATAGCAGTTTTACTAATCCAAATTTCAACACACAGAAAACTAGGAGGGATGGTTATATACACCAATTGTAAAAATGGTCAAAGAGAGCAGAACCTGCCGGACATGCACCTAAACCAACAGTAAATGTAAACATGGTATTTTATGCTGAGTTCAAGTGAAAAATACAAAATGAGAAATGTTGGGCTTAACAGTAATTTGGGGAGAAAAGTTCTAGGGACTTGTCAGTTAGCAATATTATGTTTCAAAAGAAATACAGTGTCAATGTAATTTTAAATGATATACTCAAAGGAATTATATCCCGACTAAGGGTTGTAATATCACCCTATTATATTGGCAATATTATGAATTATTATTACAATCTTTTCTGGGAAACACATTGACAAAGTGGAGCATATCCAGATGATCAGGAAGTGTAATTTATACATTTCTTTGATGCGCAGATTCCTTTTTCTTTTTTTTTATTCCTCACTCAAGAATATTTTTCTCCTTATTATCAGATAGAGTGGGAGGGAGGGAGGGAGAGACAGACAGACAGAGAGAAACATTGACGTTGTAGAGCCACATCCACTAGTTGCCTCCTGCATGACCCCACCAGTGCCGAGGACAAACCACAGCGGAGGTATGTGCCCTTGACCGGAATCGAACCCATGACTCATTGGTCCACAGGCCAACACTCTAACCATTGAGCAAAACCGGCCAGGGTGATGCTCTGATTCTTTATTTTGCTATGTGGAATGACCTCTAAGGAATAAAATCTGCCATAGCGAGTTTTCAAGGAGCTTACTCTGTATCCTTCCAGTCAAAGTGCATAGGAACTGAAAATGGGCAAAATCCACTCCCCTCAATCTGTTGAGCTTGAATGAACAAATTTAACAGTGATAATTCTCTTACTGAAAATATATATTGGTTTCTGAATGTCAAGTTACATTTTATATTTTGTAGTACTAATTTATTCACCTGCTGGGTGTCAGCACTGCTTCATGTAAACTGTAAGATGTCTCCACTTCCCTTCATCTCAGGAACGGACAGAAGTGGTTTTAGATGGAGACAGGAAAGATTCTCAATTTATTAAAAAATAAAAATGGGTAGCCCAGCCAGTGTTGAGCGTTGACCCATGGACTGAGTGGTCCCAGTTCGATTTCCAGTCAGGGTACATGCCCCGGTTGCAGGCTTGATCCCCAGTAGGGGGTGTGCAGGAGGCAGCCGATCTGTTTCTCTCTCATGTCAATGTTTCTACCTCTCTCCCCACTTCTGTCTCTCTAAAAAATCATTAAAAACATTTTTTAATATCTTAAAAATAAGATAAAAAATTGGTAGTTTAAAAAAACCAGTGTTTCTCGGATTGAGAAATTGTTTTCTATGCCTAAAGACTATTCCCTATTATAGAATGCAGAATCAAAGGAAGAGAATCCCAAATGACTCTATTTATTGAGACTCTCAGGAAATGATCTGGAAGTAAGATACAACCTTTAAAAGGGACAAGATGAGTAACTTCCACACACAAATACATACATGTGTACACACAAACACACATTACTGTAGATTAACGATAGTACATATGGATTACAGGAATTTGCAGCCTAAAATGTTTTTTGAAGTCTGCTGAATGAATGAGTATTTTTTGGTGATCAAATCTAAATACAATAAGGCTTTATATCAAACTACAGAAGTTAAAAATCATAGCTGATTAACAGAGAGTAAGCAAGTAAATTATTCACAGGCATTTTGTTTTTGGTTTTTAAATCTACTTTATTAAGTTATTGAAAAGTCACTATGAGAATTCTTTATTCCCATCTTTTCTTCTGATCCCAAGCACCTGGCTCCCATGAAAATGTCTGTGAAGTTTTCTTAGGCATAACTTTATAGCTTTAATCACTGCAGGCCTATAACCTAAATGTGGGTATTTGCAGCCAGAGCAGTTCTGTGACAAAGTTAAGGCACTACTGTCCTGGATGTCACAGCAGAAATTAGTCAAAAGTCTGTACCAAAACCCATTTATTTAAATGTGGCATTCTATTTTTAGTTAGTTTTCCTTCTCATTAGAGCCTATTACAAATTCTGTGTCAGCAAAGTGAGAGGACGGATGCAAACTAGGGGTTTCTGCCTCAACACCATGGGTGATTCTTAACATCAGGGTTTGTATGTGAAAAGCTCTCCTGTGTACTCTACCCAATGGACTCATCTCACAACGGAAAATCAGAAAAATGTTGCCTGAGCTTCAGTATGGGTTACAGTTTGTTGGTGTGGTGGGGATAATTATCCCTACCCATCTAAAAATCACATGCCCAGGATAGTTGATCTCAATTCCTCCACTACTATGTTTTTGAACTTGTTATTCTGAAAGAGCATTTGACCCCTCTCAACTGTGGGAAGCCCTCTTTGTTTAGCTGGTTGTGAAGGGTGACCTGCCCTACCATTGCTTCCCCATTTCTGGGGTCTCTCCTGGCCAAACAAGGGCAGGGAAGAGGTGGAGGAGGGAAGAGTGCTCTCATCACATAACAATAAGCTCTATAAGTGCCTTGTATTGAACTGATATTTAGTGTCAGTATCTATTCTTAGATCCTAGATCAAGTTTTAGCCATTCATTTATAGGTATCACTGGGTATTTGTTTTTCTTTTTCTCTTGTTCATGTTAACAAGATTTCTTATAAACTCAATGTAGCCTAGGTTTATTTCCTGGCTGTGTGATCTTAAGCAAGTCATTGATCTCAGGCTCATATCTCCGAGCCTCAGTTCTCTCATCTGTAAAATGGGAGATAATAGCACTAACCTTATAGTGGTGTTGGCATGTTAAATAAGTTTATTAAAGGAAAGCAAATAAAATAGTGCCTGCCACATAATAAGTATGTGCTATTATTTGCTATTATACAGCAAATGCCTTTCCTTGTAATTTTTTCTATTCAACTTGTTTGTTTTTCATAGTTTAATTATACCACTCAAAGATATAGATCTTCCATCTATTTTTTATTTCATTTTATTTTTTGTTTATTGAGTAGAGAGAGAGCACAAAACATCGATTTGTCTTTCCACTTATTTATGCATTCATTGTCTCTGATCCTTGTATGTGCCCTGACTGGGAATTGAACCCACAACCTTGGCATAATGTGATGATGCTCTAACCAACTGAGCTGCGCAGTCAGTGGCCATCTGTTTATTTTTAAAGTTCTCATAATTTCTGAATCATATGCACACCATTCATTCCTGTGCTTTTATCTCTTCCTTCCTACTCCCTCCCCACTTCCTTGGTCTCAGTACTTCTTTGATCATCTTTTTGGTTTCACCCTCCAAAACTGGCTCCAGGAGGCCTTCCTGACCATGCCTAAGTGGGGTTCACCAGTCATATGCACCCTTTTTTTTCCCACCAACACACTCAGGGAAAGTAAAATATTTGCTCCATGTCTCTCGTCTCTTGTAGGACTTTGGGCTTCATCAGGTCAGAGACCACATGTGTCTGCCTCAGTGCTGTGGTCCAGTGCCCAGCTCAGAGCATGGGCGTAGTAGGCACTTACTACTTACTCATTCAGTGAGAAAATGCAGATGGATTACCAGACTCAGTCTGCATTTCTATAAAAACAGCTTCTAAGAGCACAATTTAGAACAATTTTCAAAGGTAAATAATCCCCTGGAGAAAAGGTTGTCTCCATCTATTTTGGGCCAGACCCTATTTTAGAAAACAGTTACTATTCCAAAGGCTGGGATAGGTTATCAGGCTGATGATGTGAAGTATTGCTTTTATGCTTGTGAATGTAATCTTGGGAACAAGCTTATTTACTAGTTCATGGAAAGCTTTGGGGGGAGGGAGCAGAAAAAGCTTTCCCTTCCACTTACCAAGAAGGTAATAGGCTCCAAATGCTAGTTCTGTAAATTAACTCCTGCAAAAAGAACATGGGTCTCAAATTGTCCTCATTATTCTGTCTCATTCTTACTATCTTGTTCTCATTCCAATAAACAAATAAAAAATATATAGTATGTGGGTGTACATATACATAGGATATACACACAGATGTATATGTGTATATGCACATATGTATCACACTCTGTGAAACTCACTGAGCCTGCCCTGGCTTCCTGAGTCTTTATCAGGCCCTGTTTTGAGTTTCCTTCGAATGAGAAAAAAGGTTTCTGGCAACTTCAGTTCTGTTACATTTTCAAATAGTTCTGTGTTGAATAGCTAAAGGTCCTTCTTTAGCCAGTCTGGTTACTGTAAACAATATAAGATCTTTGTTTATTCATTCAAGTTAATTTTTGAATGCCTGCTACATGCCACAGTTCACCTTAAATTTTTTTTCTTAATATTTTAGCCATATTAGAATAGGGTGGCTTTCGAACACAGTTATATATTGGTTTATTCACAGCAAGTGAAATAAATGCTTTGCACCAGAAGCTCAAGTTTTAAAAACTGAGCTCTAAGTCATAGGGGGGGAAAAAAACCAACTGATATCTGTAAGTAATATCTTTAAGGATCTCACAGCTGAGAAGTATAAACTCACAAATTACTTCTCTATTACATAAAAAGTGCTGGTTGATTAAGAAGTACCTTTGTCTCTGAATAACTTCATCTCATAGCAGCTCTCCTATCTTATGTTTCTGTAAACTATAAAAAGTTGTGTTTCATTCACTTACCTTAGTTAAATCCATCATATTTATTCCAGTCAGAAAACATCATGATAATAAGTTTGGCACCAAGCATTATAGATTACCTCTAAATAAATATGATGAAAATGTTCTTTTGCAGATGCAAATATTGGCATTATGATGAAAACCTGCTCACCTCCAGTGTTGTCATTGTCTTCCATAATGAAGGATGGTCAACCCTCATGAGAACAGTCCACAGTGTCATTAAAAGGACTCCAAGGAAATATTTAGCAGAAATTGTGTTAATTGATGATTTCAGCAATAAAGGTAATGACTATGGAATTGACATTATGTCCATAAAATAAGTTAATTACAATTAATTGCAAAAGTGATTTCAAAATAATTAGTCTTTAAAAAGTAATAGCATCTATTGATAGCATCTATTATCAACAAGTGGGCACTGTACCAAGCATTGTATAATAATTATTTTGTTTAATCCTGACCATAACCCTTGCAATGGATATTGTTATTATCTTCATTTTACACACGAGGCTCAGAAATGCTAAGTAACTGCCCTGGCCGGTTTGGTTCAGCGGTTAGAGTGTTGGCCTGCGGAATGTTAAGTAACTTACCAACATTCACAGAGATAATAATTAATAGCTAGAATCAAATCTATATGCTCATAAGTCCATGTATTTTACCACTGTTTTACACTATACCAATTCTTTGGGCCTTGAATTTTGCAAAGATTTAGTTATGGAGGTAATTTATTAAAAGATTAAAAAAATGCAGTTGCGTGTATACTATAATGCCAACTGATGTTCCATCCATGGTTGTCTAACTGAAATCCATATACCTATTTAATAGCCATTATTTTGCATTTTAACAATGATACAATATTGAATTTGACCAGAAACTATAGACTCTTTTTATTTATAATAGAAAGTATCCACTAAAGTTTATTTTGTTCTATATTTCATTTAATATATTGAATAAAAGGATTTTTTTAAGGAGCTAGCTATTATAGAATTTAGGGAGGCATTGGTAAGTCTTGGTTCAACTTGGCAAGAGAGATTGAGCATTGATTTTTCCCGATAGTGGGCTTAACATTTTTTTCCTTACATAGATAAATTATCATAAGCTGAATATATCTTCTTAATGACATGAATATCAAAAGATAGATAATGCTATAGCTCAAAAGATAGATAATGCTATATATAGCTCAGACCAGAAACCATTATGTTAAATTAAAATTGTAATTGTGCTGCTGAAACACACATCTGCATATTTATTCTTTGCTTGTCACAAGCGTGAAATGAATCCTTTGAAACTTGACCAGAGATCTCAGACTAAGTAACAACAGGATTTTGGGCATATAAGTTTTGCACACAACTTTTGTATACAAGTAGTAAATTCTACTAACTGTAGGTCGGAAGACAGAACAGGGTAGCATGAAAAAATACCATTCAGAATTGCTTTATAAAAGCTTCCTCCAAAACTTCATTTAGAACTCTTGCTGTCTGGGTAAACCTCTTCTGTTTATGCAAGGACATACCAGATCTTGATCTTGTCCACATATGTTGGCATGGAGAAGAAATAGAAATATGGCCTATTACCTTTTCCCCTCCTCTTTGTTCAGCTTATCACTTTTTTCAACTAATCACTTTTTTTAGGGAGGGTAAAAAAAAAATATATATATATATATATATATATATATATATATATATATATATATCTCGAACATTTTTTTGCTTTGGTTTGGTTTTGTTTTGTTACAGATGTTTCTCCTTTTTCACCCCATTAACACCCTCCGCCCCATCTCCCCCACCCCGTCCCTAGCTTTGTTTTCCATGTCCACTGGTTATGCGTACATGCATATAAGTTCTGTGGTTTATCTCTTCCCTCCCACCACCACCCCCTCTCCTCAGGGTTGTCAGTCTGTACCCTACTTCCATGTCTCTGGGTCTACCCTATCCCTCAGACTGTTATGTTTATTATATTCTACAAATAAGTGAGATCATGTGATATTTGTCTTTCTCTGATTAGCTTGTTTTGCTTAGGATAATACTTTCCAGGTCCTTCCATGTCGTCTCAAAGGATAAGAGATCTTTCTTTCTTACAGCTGCATAGTACTCCATTGTGTATATGTACCACTGCTTTTTTATCCATTTGTCTACTGATGGACACTTGGACTGTTTCCAGATCTTAGCTATTGTAAATAGTGCTGCTATGAACATGGAGGTACATATATTCTTTCTGATTTGTGTTTCAGGTTTCTTATGGTATATTCCTAGAAGTGGGATCACTGGGTCAATTTTTAATTTTTTGAGGTAACACTATGTTTTCCATAGTGGCTGCACCAGTCTGCATTCCCACCAGCAGTGTACTAGAGTCCCCTTTTTTCCATACCCTCGCCAACACTTGTTTGATGGTTTGTTGATGGCGGCCATTCTGACAGGTGTGAGGTGATACCTCGTTGTTGTTTTAATTTGCATCTCTCTGATGATTAGTGATGTTGAGCATTTCTTAATATGTCTCTTGGCCATTTGTATGTCCTGTTTGGAGAGATGTCTATTCAGCTCCTCTGTCCATTTTTTAATTGGGTTCTTTGTCTTCCTTTTGTTGAGTTGTATGAGCACTCTATATATTTTGGAAATTAACCCCTTATCTGATGTATCATTGGCAATGATGCTCTCCCATACAGTAGGTTGCCTTTCCATTGATCGTTGTTTCTTTTGCTGTGCAGAAGCTTTTGAGTTTAATGTAGTACTAATTGTTCATTTTCTCCTTTGTTTCTGTTGCTTTATGTGATGTATCAGTGAAAATTCTGCTGCGTATGATGTCTGAAATTTTGTTGCCTACATTTTCTTCTAGGATTTTTATGGATTCACGGGTCACATTTAAGTTTTTTATCCATTTTGAGTTTATTCTTGTGTATGGTGTAAATTGATGGTCTAGTTTCATTTTTTTTGCATGTAGCTGTAGAATTTTCCCAACATCATTTATTAAAGAGGCTGTCTTTACTCCATTGTATGCCCTTGCCTCCTTTGTCAAATATTAATTGAGCATAATGTCTTGGGTCCATTTCTGGGTTCTCTGTTCTGTTCCACTGGTCCATATGTCTGTTCTTGTGCCAGTACCAGGCTGTTTTGATTACAGTAGCTTTGTAGTATAACCTGATATCCGGTATTGTGATCCTACCTACTTTGTTCTTCTTTTTTAACATTGCTATGGCTATTCAGGGTCTTTTTTGGTTCCATATGAACTTTTGAAATATTTGTTCTAGTTCTGTGAAGTATGTCATTGGTATTTTGATGGGGATTGCATTGAATCTATAGATTGCTTTGGGTAATACGGACATTTTAATGATTTTAATTCTTCCAATTCATGAACAAGGTATGTGCTTCCACTTCTTTATATTTTCCTCTATTTCTTTTTTCAATGTCCTGTGGTTTTCTGCAAATAGGTTTTTTACTTCTTTGGTTAAGTTTATTCCTAGGTATCTTAATTTTTTTGCTACGATGGTAAATGGGATTGTTTTTTTAGTTTCTCTCTCTGTGAGTTCATCATTGATGTATGAGAATGCCGTCAATTTCTTGACATTAATTTTGTATCCTGCTACTTTGCCAAATTCATTTATTAAGTCTAGTAGATTTTTGATGGAGTCTTTAGGTTTTTCTACGTATAATCTCATGTCATCTGCAAATAATGACAGTTTACATCCTCCTTTCCAATTTGGATCCCTTTTATTATTTCTTCATGTCTGATTGTTGTGGCTAAGATTTCCAGTACTATGTAAATAAGAGTGGCGAAAGTGGGCATTCCTGTCTTGTTCCTGTTCTTAAGGGAAATGCTTTTAGTTTCTGCCCATTGAATATGATGTTGGTTGTAGGCCTTTCATATATGGCCTTTGTTATGTTGAGATATGATCCCTCTATTCCCACATTGCTGAGCATTTTTATCAGAAATGGATGCTGGATTTTGTCGAATGCTTTTTCAGCATTTATTGATATGACCATGTGGTTTTTATTCTTCATTTTATTTATGTGGTGTATCAAATTTATTGATTTGTGAATACTGTACCAGCCTTGCATCCCTGGAATGAATCCCACTTGGTCATGGTGAATAATTTTTGTGATGTATTGCTGGATCCGATTTGCTAGTATTTTGTTCAGGATGTTGGCATCTATGTTCATCAGGGATATTGGCCTGTAGTTTTCTTTCTTTGTAGTGTCTTTTTCTGGTTTTGGAATTAGAATTATGCTGGCCTTGTAAAACGAGTTTGCAATGAGTGTTCATTCTTTTTTGAATGTTCGGTAAAACTCCCCGGTGAAGCCATCTGGGCCTGGGCTTTTGTTTGCTGGGAGAGTCTTGATTACCTCTTCAATTTCCTTAGTTGTTATTGGTCTGTTCAAGTTTTCTATCTCTTCCCGGTCCAGTTTTGGGAGACTATGTGTTTCTAGAAATTTGTCCATTTTGCTTAGATTGTCAAATTTGTTGCCATATAATTGTTCATAGTAGTTGTTAACGATCTTTTGTATTTCTGTGGTGTCAGTTGTTACTTATCCTCGTTTCTGATTTTGTGTATTTGGGTTCTGTCTCTTTGTTTCTTGGTGAGTCTAGCTAAGGGTCCATCAATTTTGTTTATCTTTTCAAAGAACCAGCTCTTTGTTTCATTGATCCTTTGAATTGTATTTTTGGTCTCCATGTCATTTATTTCTGCTCTGATCTTTACTATTTTCTTCCTTCTACTTGCTCTGGGGTTTTCTTTTTGTTTGCTTTCTATTTTTTTAAGTTGTGAGGTTAGATAGTCTATTAGAAATTTTTCTTACTTCTTGAGGTAGGCCTGTAGTGCTTTGAACTTCCCTCTCAGAACTGCTTTTGCTGCATCCCATAGATTTTGTGCTGTTGTATGTTCATTTTCATTGGTTTCCAGAAAGTTTTTAATTTCTTCCTTGATCTCCTCGGTAACCCATTCATTGTTTAATAACATGCTATTTAGCTTCCATATGTTCAAATGTCTTTGCATGTTCTTGTTGCAATTGATTCCTAGTTTCATGCCATTGTGAACTGAAAAGATGCTTGATATGATTTCAATCTTCTTGAACTTGTACAGACTTAGTTTGTGTCCTAACATGTGGTCTGTCTATGAGAATGTCCCATGTGCACTTGAGAAGAATGTGAATTCTGTAGTTTTGGGGTGTCATTCTCTGTAGATATATATTAAATCCATTCGGTCTAGTGCTTCATTTAGAGTCTCTGTTTCCTTGCTAATTTTTTGTCTAGAGGATCTATCCAGTGATGTCAGCAGGGTGTTGAAGTCCCCT